TTTCACCATGTTGACCAGGATGGTCTCGATCTCTTGACCTCGTGATCCACCCGCCTCGGCCTCCCAAAGTGCTGGGATTACAGGCTTGAGCCACCGCGCCCGGCCTACACTTCTTTATACTTCCTCCCACCCGTTGGCCTCAGAGAAACAAAACAAAACAAATAACCAAATAAAACAAAACAAAAAAATCAAAATTGAATTGTCCACTGAGTGGTAGCCAGGCTGGCCTCAGAGGGAAAAGAGAAACTGCAGCCGTAATCTCCGGCTGTCACCTCCTGGGGCCTGCCCCCAGGTTGAGGATTTGGCAAGAGGGTGCCGGCTTGGCTTGTAGCTCAAGAGGTTGAGGCCTGGACCGGCAGGGAGAGGAAGCGGGTGGGAGAGGAGGGAGAGCAAAGCCCTGGAGAGAGTAAAGCAGCTCTCTTAGAGAGAGATGACGGGGGAAGTCTGGAGGAGAGAGTTCTTGGCACCAGAAATCCCTACACACCCCTCATTGCCTCCCCCAACTTTTCCTGGTTGGGCTCAGGCAGGACTGGTGTTCAGCTCAGGGAGCCTGAAGTGGGAAAGAGGAAAGCCCAGCCTAGGCATCTTCTCCAGGCATCTCCCTTCAAGGGTTTGGTCACTGAGGTGGAAGTGGGCACCCCACGTTGCTCTTTGCCATCCTGGAAAATCTGACCAGATATGCCTAGTAGATGTCCCTGGGCCGCCAGCCCAAGCACTCTTTATCAGAGCCTGCAGAACTGACATGAGAGGGGGCAAAGAAAAAATTCTTCAGGGGCAGGACTTGCTATATCTGGGGTTTCAGCTTCCAGGAGGGCTTTAAGAAAGGGAAGTGTAAATGGGGTTCCCCTGGAGACCCAGGTCAGACTCTCCTTTGTGGAGCTCTTTCTCTGCATGTCTGTCAACTCTGTTGCCTTGTAGAGTGGAAGACTGTGGAAGCTGTGCCTCCAGCACTTCTTTATATTTCCAGTGATGCTGGGATCCTCTGGGAGATGACCTGTGTCTCCTTTCTAAGGGATACAAATGTCCTCATTCTTGGGATGATGTGTCTTCAAACCAGGTGACTCTGCTCTTAAGTCTGTTAAGGTTCTCCCGTAAGTCAGGCTTGGGCAGGGGATAAAGAGCTCAGGTAATAGAGAATGACTTCAGGAGAGAGAGGAGAGGGAGAGAGTTCTAATGTGCCTTAATGGGGAAAAGGGAGTCTTATAACCCCATCCTTGTCCCAAAGATCGGAAGCCCCTCCCGGCACCACATGTCCAATCCCAGGAACTACCTATGGCAGTTGGTGAGCTGAATCAAGGGATGGCAGGCTGGTGACAGCAGGAGTGACAGGGTGGTTGGCCCTATGGGTCTTAAATTGGAGTGGGGGGGTCAATCTGGTGGAGAAGAGGCCTCTGACTTTTAGAAGGGTGACTTTTCCTTAGAAAATAACAGAATGTCTAGGGATCAAATCCTGAAGTCCCTCTGGTTTATGGTGCCACAAAACAAAGGCGCCTTTGAGGGTGTGCCCAGAAGAGAAGAGGGAAAAAGAGAGGAAAAAAGAGCACTTTCCTATTTTCTCTTCAAGCTCCTGAGTCGATTTCCTCCCGGCAGTTGAGGGATCTGAGTTCTTGAACTGATTTTATTTACGGAGGGCTTGCCAGAGTTCTACTTAAACCCCTAACACCTCTAGGCAAGAGAAGAAGCTCTTACCTTCCCCCACTCCTGATCAGGAATTAGGTTTTTGAATTGGAGTAGGGGGCGGGGATTGCCCCCTCTGTCTGCTCCCTAGTCTGATTTCAGGATCCTACTTCAGGTCAAGGAGAAAGATTAGCTTGGGACCAACAGGATGAAGGTGGAGGCAAAAGCAGCGCTGTGCTCCCCATCCCAGATAATCCCAATGAGGCTGTGCTCCCCATCCCAGATAAGCCCAATGAGGCCCAAGAAGATCGAAGGCACCCCCTTCTATGGGCTTCAAAGATCTGAAAGCCAGAGAGCACCCCAGGGCAAGGCAGCCCACAGCAGCCGCCTACCGGATGCTTTTTCTCAGCTCAGATGTATCCAGATAAAAGTGCCCAGCAGTGCACCCCACACACCCCTGACAAATGAATGTCATAAAGTTTGTTTCCTGAGGGTGGGGGGATAGCTGTCTCAAGATATCCAGCAGCAGCGAAGTGGCCCCCCACAATGGCCCCTTCTTTCATCAATACACACCCCTCCTTCTTGGTCCCTAAATTTCCACTGGCACTGAGGGAGCATGGATCCCCCACACAAACCCTTTTCTCCACAGAGTCAGGCACTCTTGCTGGTAAAAACCAGGCACCCCAGACCACTGAGGCCTTATGAAACTGAGAGCACTCACTTCAGGCACCCAGTCCCTTAGAACTGAGTGCATAAAACAGGCTAAATATCCCCTACACCGTCCCACAGCCCCAGCTGGAAGCTTTCCTTCTCCCAGCCCCAAGCCCCAGAGTCGCAATGGGTAAAAGCGAAAGCTGAAAGAGACTTACTGCGGGAGTGCTGGCCTGGGCCGCCGCTGCCTTCTGGGCTGGTCCTGCTGCTCTAGGCTGGGAGAGTGCTCACCTACCTCTGCCCCCTTCCCCACCACAGCGAGCAGTTAAAGTGTCACTTAACATTCTGGAGAATGTGAAATATACTGCGTGGTGTCAACTCCCCAAAACCATAAAACTAACTTTATGGACCTCACGTGACTTTCTCGAGCCAGTGAGGGGTATCTGTCTGACTTCTCGGCGATTTTTACGATCTAACTTCGAGATAAAACCCCTATCCATTTGACATCTAAATGTCATAGCGACTTTTGGGATAGTTTGCTATCGACAAAGGGGGACAAAGTCAAGGGGTGAAGGGAAAGGAGGGCCAAGTAGAGCCTCCACGACCCACGGCTGCCTCCTCACCAGCTCCCCCTCCCCCCAAGTCCAGTAAGAAGTTGGGCCAAGCTGGAAGGGATTGACCGGGTAAGTATCCAGACTTGACTCTTGCGCTCAGGGTGGAGGCTGACTTGGATGGAGGTGGACTGGGCCCTGGCCCTGGGCCAGGCTGAAGGGGGAACCAGAGGTCTTTCTGCAAAGACCCCAACTCCTAATCAAGAGGGAAGATCAGTTGGGCCCCTGGAGAGAAGGAGCCCTTGATAAGGGTAGAGAAGGCTGAGGGTGAGAGAAATCATTTGAAATCCAGCTGATTTTTTTTTTTTTTTTTTTTTTTTTTTTTGCTTTAGTTGGTGGCAGAACTGTATTGGGACTTAGAGTAGGAGACAGGGGGCTGGGCAGGCCTCTACCACTCTCAAAAGGCCAGGAGCCTCCTACTGAGGACTTAGGCCCAAATTACTTTCCCAGAAGGGTTTTCCAGAGGCTTCCTTGGCCAGCTAGTGGAAGACCAGGATGGAGTCTAGCTCAGCCTTTCCCCTGCCCCAGCCCCACACGGGGTTTCTGGGCCTTGAAGTCCCCCAGGCATGAAGGTCTGTTCCCTGGCCCAAGCACTGTTGACCAAGCCAGGGACTTACAGGACTGAGAAGAGCTGTTGGGAAGAGCCTACTTTTTCTACCCCGCACCCCAGATCTACTGAGAATGGTCCAGGATGTGCCCGGGATGGGAGAGGCAGATCCCTCGGAGAAAAGACAAGTGGAAGGGCAATGGAGTGGGGGAAACATTTATTTGACTTCAAGGAAAGCTACAAACAAATACCAAAAGCGAATCACCGAGACAGGCCCCGCAAAGACAGATTTCACACGTAGTACGGCATCCGCTCGCTCACTACAAATGGTCTTGGAAGCGAAATGGGTAAGGAACAGATGGGTCTGACCCAGACTGTCCCCATATTTACAAGCTTTGGGCCCTCTAGCCAGACCTATGGATTCACAGAGAAATACACAAGACATATTATACTGAGGATCATTTTTGTTTCCGTATACTCCCAGACCAGGCCTTGTGGGGCCTACCCAGGCAGCAGGAATTTAAATCTCACTATCTTCTTTCTCTCTTCTCAATATCACCCCTTTGGTCCTCCCCAGCCTCTTCCCACCCTAGAACCAAGCCCCTAGGAGACTTGGGCCTGGGGAGTGGGGAAGGAGGAAGAGGAGAATGAAAAGAGACTCCATCTCCGAGGCCAGTTCAGCTTGGCCCCACTGCGGTACTACCCCACCTCAACTGCTGCCCCTTAGAGAAGTTTCCAGCTGAAACTCAAAATACAGTGATCATCCTTTTATAAATAAGTTAGAACACAGATGGGGAGGGGAGAGTTCACATTAAACATGCGAATTTCTTTTTTTTTTTTTTTTCCTGGGGGAAGGACTGCAACCACAGACACAAACATTCAGAAACACTGGTGGATTTGGGGCAAGCGGAAAGGAGTTGGGAGCATGTAGGGAAAATAATAATAATTATTATTATTAACAATAATAACAAGATAACCAGTCCAGGAGAGAGGGAGCCACAGGAAGACCTAAGACCAAACGAAATATCGAAATATCTTAACACAAGGCTGGGGCGAGGCAGGCTTGTGGGAACCGGTCCCCAGCGGGCTGCGGCAGTGCGGGGAGGATTGAAGGGGCCAGGGCTGGGGGTGGCACGGGCTCTTGGGCCGCTGGGCTCCTCTGGGCGGGCTCAGGGCTGGAAGGCGCTGCCGGCTGTAGCCAGGCTCATACTTTTCAGTTTGTTGTCCTTCTTCCACTTCATGCGCCGGTTCTGGAACCAGATCTTGATCTGGCGCTCCGACAGGCAGAGTGCATGGGCGATCTCGATGCGCCGTCGCCGGGTCAGGTAGCGGTTGAAGTGGAACTCCTTTTCCAGCTCCAGGGTCTGGTAGCGGGTATACGCGGTCCGGGCCCTTTTCCCGTCCGGCCCAGTCATATCTGGAGCAGAGAGAGGAAAGCCGCAGGCAATGTTATTCCGGTTAAGGGAGGGGGCACTGGGCGGGAGGGGGCGGGGGAGCAGGACCCAGGCGTCCCGGCACCCAGCTCACCACTGCTCCAATCCTCTCTACTCCAGATGCCCACATTCAAGCTCGATTTCAGTACCCCATTTTCCCGCATCCACCACTTCTGCCGGCAGCCAATGCGCCCGGCTTTGTCTCTTGCTCACTCCTAGTGCCTCACCCTTGGCTGGGCTCAGGCGGCCGCTTGCCCCGGAGGGAGGAGAGCGGTTGCACTTTTGCCCCGGAAAGCTCCTTTTACTGCTCACCCTTTCTTTGCTAGCGGTAGTCTCAAAATTTCAGGGGTAAGCAGGACTCTTCCCCACATTACATGAACCCCATCCTTTATCCTAATGCAGGAATAGCTGGGCTAATAAAAACCTAATCCGAAGCTGGGAACAAATTATTTAAAATACCCCCCATCATAGAGAGACCCTGTTTGGCTCTGTCTACAAAGCTATGAGGCCCCTCTCAGAGACTTCTCCCCCTTGGAAAAATAAATCTATATTTGGGGGAAAGCCAGGCTCTCCTTGTCCCCCCATCCCACCCCAAAACGCAGAGAAGGAAAGCTGAGAAGACAAAAAAGAGAGAATTACCGTGGCTGATGTGAAGCTTCCTCATCCAGGGGAATATCTGCGGAGTCTGCCCCTCGGGCGCGGCTGTGGAGGTGGCCATGGGCTCTGGCTGCGCCCGAGCTAGGCTGGGGCTGCTTAGCTGGCTCGCCGCTTCCTCAGGCTCCGAGGACGCGCTGGCCTCGTCTATTTCGGTGAAATTGGCGCTGGAGCTGGCCGAGGTCGCCTGGTCGGAGGGGGACGAAGCAGAGGGCTTGACGCCGTGGCTGTCGCCGTTGGTGCAGGGCAGGGACTCGGGCGAGGACAGGGAGCAGCTCGAAGCTGCTTGCCTGAAGCGGGGCTCCTGGGCGGGCGCGGGGAAGGCGCGCGAGCTCTCGCCCACCGCCCCAAAGTGGCTGGAGGAGGCCGAGGAGCGGTTGACGCTGAGGTCCATCCCATTGTAATTGTAGCCGTAAGAGCCGGTGTGCATGGCAGCGGGATCCCTGTAAGAGCCGCTCAGAGAGCTGCCACTGCCATAATTTAGCAACTGATAGTCCGGGCCATTTGGATAACGCCCCGAGAAGGAGTTTACAAAGTACGAGCTCATTTGGGTGATTTTGGAGGGCTTGATTTGTGGATCGTGGTCGTTATAACCCTGTGCTTCACGATTTATGATGTATTAATGAATTATAGCGATGCACTGTACTTCGTTTTGCTATGTATGCGGCCAAATATGGGGGGGGGGTTGGAAGGGGGGTGGGGGGGCGTTAGGGAATCACGTGCTTTTGTTGACCAGTCGTAAATTCTCGCTGATGACCTCAAGAGGTAATTCATGCTCTATGGTTACAAATAATGACGATCCGAGAATCGTTAGGGCCGATTCAATGCGAGCCTCCGAGAGAGGGGGGAAAAAAGAAGGGGGAGAAACAGGGAGAAGGTTGGCGTTGGCCTCTGAGCAGAGCGCGCCACCTCCCGGCGATCGACGGGAGCGCGGGCGGGAGACCGCCATGGCGGCTGCGGCTGCCTCCCTGTTGGCTCTCTGCAGCCGCCGGGAGAGAAAGAAACCCGGCCAAGGCTCAGCCACAGGGTTGAGCGTTTTAGAGCAGGCGTTAAGCTTTTTACCCAATTTCTTGTGGGTGGGGTTAGCCTCTCTACTTGGGTCCTTCTCCTTACATCATCATCGTCGTTATTATTTTAACTTTGGATGAGAAGATCAAAGATTAAGTTGCTTTTCCCTTTCTCCGGCTTTGCAAGTCTCTGAATTGGGGGCGGAAATGGGGGAAGGGTTGGAAGTTGTGTGTGAAAAACAATTATTGCAACGGTTTTTCCCCCGGAGCTCAGCCCGACCTGCATCCTGGAGGGACTGCTATTGCTGTCCACAGCTCCCAGGCCGAGCGTGGGGCTGGACAGGAGGCTTGAAAAAGCAGCAGGAGACACGTTCACTTCTCCTGGGCCACTTGGAAGTTCGAAATCCCCTTCCTGACCTCCTTGGTGTTCCTTAGCCCAGGCCTGGGGAGTGGCAGAGCAGGACAGGGACCCCAGAAGCCCAGCACAGCTGGGGCTAAGCGGCCTAGTTGCCGAAAAGACTGCAGCGGCCACCGTGTCCGGGGCTTGGGTTTGAGTAGTAACATGTGTCTGCGAGTTTGTAAAGCAGGACCCCTTCCCCTCCTCCTCGGCTACTGCATTCGGAGGCCCGACTCCAGGCCCCTCATTCGCAGCTGGGCAGTTTGAGAATTTCCCTGGTGGCAGCCGCCTTCCCGGAAAAGGGGTTCCAAGGACCCGCACGGTTTGTTGAGCACGCTGGGCGCCCAGAGACCGCCGCAGCAGGGCCCCTATTAGGAGTCGACAATTTTCTTTGAAAAGGGACCAAGAGGGTGGAGGAATAAAGGAAAACAGTGTCCACAGCTTGCCCTCTGGGTGCCCGTGGGAGCGGAGAGAGAATGGGCCGTTCTGGGTTGAGAGGATGACACTAAATGCCCCATCACCTGGCCTCCTGCCCTGGGGTCTCCAAGGAGCAAGGGAAAGCCGTGCCCCTTGGCTTGTGCCTGGCTGGTGGCTTTACATTCCCCTACTTCTGGCTGATCTCCTACTTGAGGTGGGAAGGGGCACCTGGAGCCTTCAGCTGCAGGGCGAGAGATACCCGGTGGCCCCATTTTTCAGTCTCCAGAGCCACAGGCAGGGAGCAGAGGGCCAAGGCTGGTGAAGACCTGGCCATGTGGACAGCCCTAAGGCCAGGGGCCTCTGCAGAGGTGAGAACAGAAAAGTGCTGCAGAGGCCCCCAGACTCGATGGCTCCATCTCCACAAGAGAGCATTGGGGGCCTCAGTGGCTCCTTTAGTGCTGTAGACACAGGAGGAAAGGCTAAAGAATGAGAGAGAAACAGCCCCTCTCCATCCCCCAATCCTGCACGGGGAGAGGAGGCTGTGAGCCTCAGCACCAGGGAAACGCAGCGCTGGGGCTTGGCCAGGACAGATCATCGCTCCGGCCTTTATCTCAGCTGTAACTTCCCAGTCGAACAGGGCCCGCTACGGCGGGCCAGGGCTCTCGCCTTTGCTGAAGATTCCTGGCTCAGGAAAGATGGAGAGGCTGGGGGTTGGGGGAGAGGAAAAAATGGCAGGGGAAGATCGGAGGTGACCGAGCGTTGAGTTTTCACATCTTTATTATTATTATTAATATTAATATTATTACCGAAGTATTTCACGTCCAGAGCTAAGACAAGACTACAAACACAACACATAGAAAATTAATAAAATAGAACTTTGTTTTCTTCTGAGGCTCCTCTTCTTACTTCTAGGTAGTATGTGCTCCTTCCAGTGGCTTTAGGGAGAGGGTGGGAGAGACGACAGATCTGGGGTCAGGGAGTCTTCGAGGCCCCCGCTGAGGGGACAGCGAATCTACCTTTGAACCGTGCACCGGGGACATGGACGAAATGAGATGCGACAGGGACAAGAGCATTTTGCTCTGCTTCCAGGAAACATCAAGTGAGTCCGATCCTCAGTTCTCACTGGGAAGCCTGATCAGGCTGAGGCGGGTTTCTCGGGAAAGAAGGGCGAGGGTGGGCTCGAGCAGTGAGGCTTCTGAGCACCAGCCGGGAGCTGTGCGGGCGGGGGCGTCCAGGAGAGCGCTGGCCCCGCCTGTCGTGTGCCAAAGAGCAAGTCTCCTGGCTCTCCCACCCGAGAGCCTTCCTTCCCCGGGCTCTCCGACGCCCTTGGCTCCCACAGGCCTTTCCCCTCTCGTCCTCCCTCCCTTTCCAGCACCTTCACTCGGCAGGTTTTTCTTCCTCCTCCTCGGCACTGAGCTGAGAAGCGCTGAGCAGTTTGCTCTCCTTTTTCCACTTCATGCGTCGGTTCTGGAACCAGATCTTGATCTGCCGCTCCGTCAGGCACAGTGCGTGCGCGATCTCGATGCGCCGCCGCCGCGTCAGGTAGCGATTGTAGTGAAACTCCTTCTCCAGCTCCAGCGTCTGGTAGCGCGTGTATGTCTGGCGGCCTCGCCGGCCGCTGGGCCCAAAGGAGGAACCTGTTACGCAGAGTGGAGATGCTGAGGCCTGGGGTCAGCAGGCCCAGGGCCCCCTCTCCTAGTCGACCCTCGAACACAGACTCCAGTCTGCACCCTGTACCGGGATGCCCTCCACTCTCCCGGTTCCCTTCCCCCTTTTCGCATTCCTCCAGCGCCCCCTCCAGATTCCCTCCTGGTCTCCTAGGCCTGTGCTGCCTGTCTAGACTCTAGATGGGGGAGGGGAGGAGCAGTTTGAACTCCCACCTGAGCCTGGGGGGAGGGGCTGGCCAGGTGTGTGTCTTCCTAGTTGCATTTTGTCTTTCCCTCCCTTTCCATCCATCCAGCTCCCCCCACCCCGCCCACCCAATGATAAATCCAGGCCCTTAATCCATAATGACGTAGATCGATCCATAGTCCACATTAACGGCTCCTCACTTTCTAGTCTGGCTAATGGACGTCAATTGGGACTTAAGGCCAACAAATAATCCAACCTGAGAGCCCGAGCCTGTTTCTCCCTCTCCCTCGCTCTGCCTGCTCCCTCTCTCTTCCTTCCCCTTATTCCTCCTCCCTCCTCTAACTACCACCCCTTTCCTGGTGCCTCATCTTGCCACAGCCCCCCACCCTCCGGAAAACACAGTCCCAGACACACTCAACTCTTCCTCTCCAGCGTCACCCCCCACCCCCTTGCATGACGCACTCCGTTTTTAATGGAGCCGTCTTTGGTTGGGGGACCCTACCAGGGCTGGGAGAGGGGACAGGAGCTCCAAGTAAAGCCAAGCCAGTGACTGTGGTCCCCTGCTCCCTTCCTTGTCCTGGAACCCCCGGCTCTGGCCAGGCGCCCCAGGAGAGTCCACTCGCTCCCCCTGGCTCCCAGCACGGCTGGGACTTTGCAAACTTTGTAACTCCTGCCTACCAGGGGACAGGCGAGAAACGCCAAGCAGGCGCCCAATCTTCTTTTATCTCCTAACCGAGATGCCCACCCAGCACCCTGTGGGAGAATGGGGAGGGGAAACGCTCACTAGTTCTATGTCCCGGGGTGGGGGCCCACGGGAGCCAGGGCGACGGCGACGGGGAGTCTCACTCACTGTTGCACGAATTCATCCGCTGCATCCACGGGTAGACCGGAGTGGAGCACTTCTGCTCTTCCGTCTCGCCGAACACGTTCTTGTCCTGCGCGCAGTCAGACTTCCGCGGCTCGGGGTGGAACTGGGGCGGCTCGTCGGCGCTGGAGAGTGCGCAGGCCGACTCCTTCTCCCGGTAGAAGGCCGGCGCCGGCCCGTAGTCGCAGGGCGCCGCTCGGCCGTAGCCACCGCCCGCCGGCGGGTAATAGGAGGAAGTGGCAAAGCCCTTGTCCTGACCGGGCCCTGGCCCATACGGCGCGGGGTAATGCCTCAGCGGGTCCGCATAGCCCGACGAGTAGAGCGGTAGCTGGCCCAAGAAGGACTCCTGCCCGCTGGCCAGAGTGACGGGGAAGGTGGAGTTCACGAAATAGGAACTCATTGGGAGGGGAGGCGCGCGTGGCCGCTGCTGCTCCGCCGGGTTTATGATTTGTTGTGTTTTATAGTCCGAGCGCCGCGCCTATTAGTAGTATATCCGAGATTGGGTTTTAGCTGAGGGGGGATGGCGAGGTGCCAGTGAGGGCCAGAAGGAAATACAACCATCTGATCCAACACTGACCAATGGCAGAGGCAGGAATTGTCAAATAGCACCCAGGAGGAGCGCAGCCCGCACGAGGGACCCGCGCACAAACCTATCAACCTTTTTTTCTCCTTTTCCTTCTCCTTCCTCTCTCTCTCTCCCCAACAACACAACGCGTCCTGTTCCACCTACGTAGGATCTGTGAAATAAGCTCTGTGCCTTTGAGGGAGAAGGGAGCTTTTAGATTGAGACCACCCCACTCCCGGGTGATTAAATAAATGTATCTCTTCCCCACCCCACGCAGGATAGGAAAAATTTAATTGTGTTTTCAGAAAAGTTAACCCCTGCGTTGCTTGGGCCCCTTCCTTCCAGGGAGGGGTGGGTATATGTTTCCGAATCTCCTTGAGAGAGAGAGAGCTAAAGAAGGTTTGTTTCTAGGGTTTTGTGGTGGTAGAAGGTGAGAAGAGTTCTCCGCTAAGACGAGAAAGAAGAAACACCCTCCTCCCCAGGTTTCGAACTTGGTTTTTCCTGTTTATCAGATCTGCCTTTCTCCTCCAAGCCTCGGGTTATTGTTCCTGCTTCTCCACAACCCTTCTGATCTGAGGGGGCAGGCCAGATCCCACTACCTAGGAGACCCAGAAGACTGGGAGCTGGCAGGAGGGTCTGAGCCCAAGCTTCCCCCTCTGGCTCTGTGGCTAGGCTGGGAGCTTCTTGGAAGGCAGTGTCCCGACAGCTGCCCAAGACATCCTGCTTGCTTCTAGTATGCAGCTG